TTAAGTAAAACCAGAAAGAAACTTCACAGACATATAGCAGCTGAGCAGACCACCACCACCAAGAGAAATTCCTCATAGACAATACATGCAGGAGTTCTTCATGGGAAACCTGAGGATAAGAAGCTGTGGTAATAAAGCATGTATTTCCCCAAAGATGATAAACATGTAGACAAAAGACAAAGAATACCTATAGCCACAAAATTAGATAGTATCACATGATATAAAACACATAAATATGGTCATTAATAACACATTGGATAGGAGTAAAATTACAGAATTTTGCAATTCAGTATATATCAGATCAAATGGGCCATTACTTTTTTCCTGATCACTCTGTGCAGACAAAAATAATGTTTATTCCATGTTAGATGGAAACAACATGCAGGCAAGGATTGGTGCAGCTACTGTGGTTTATACAATACCAGAGGAAAGTTGTCCTTGCTCATGTCATTTAAAAGGAAATTCAGTACAATAAAAAAATTGTATCATGTTCAGAATTTAAGTGCTGGAACTTAAAAGCTACATTTGGCCCCAGGAAAAGAAATCCAAACTTTGGAATGAAATGAAGTTGATATAAATCTGGCATCCATAGCTTGCTTCTCTATCGAATGGGCACTTATAAACAAAAATAAAAACACCTGATAAAAAATCAAAGGAAAAAGTCAGAATGGGTCACTAAAAAAATTGCCAAGTGAAAACAATGAAATAAAAGTTGAACTGAGAACATCAGTGACCAGTATTTAACAATCAGTTATTATGTTAAATATAAAAGGGTTAAAATTACCAATTAAAATATAAAGAATAGTTGAGTATATACCAAAAAATATCAAACTGTATAAGGAGCAAAAGTGGTTCACTTTAGACTTAAGGGTACATGTGAGCTAGAAGCAAAGGGGTAGAAAACATGATCACATACAGGAGAATGGGGAGCTCACAGGGCGCTGTGCTTCCATCAGGTAACATACACTTTAAGACAGAAATTGTCATCTGATAAAAGCATCACCTTTTTAGAAACTGACAAATATGAATGGACCTAACATCAGAGCACTGAAATACTCAACACAAACCTTGACAGAGCTAAAGGAGGACATGGACCACAATAGATTAAAAGTAAGAACCACCTACATCTCATTATAATAATGAATAGATCAGACAAATTGAAACTAATGAGAACACAAAACCTTGAGTATATCATAAACCACTCAGCAACTATTCGATCCCAATGGTCTCTAAAATAGATCATGAGCTAATTAAAACAAGTTTTAAAATTTAACAAGATTATAATTATGCCTGTTTTTTTTCTGAGCATGTTAGGGTGAAATGGGTAACTGATTTCAGGATGATGAGAAAATTTCATAACAAGGTGATTGGATGGAGACACCCAGCCCTTATATCCGTATTCTTCTCTTCCTCTCCTTATAACACCACAAGTATCAAGAAAACAAATAAATTGCACTCTAGAGTAAGAGGTACTGGAACCCAACAAGAGAGAGACTAACATACTCTTAAGACACAAAAACTGATGACAGTGAAGAGTTAAATAGGACTCCCTGACAGCCATGACCTAGTTTCCTGGCAAGCAGACTCCCTTACTGGAGGAGATTCAGTGACCAGGAGAGTCACAGGCCCCATCTCATCTCTGTACACATTGATGATCCTCTGAAAAGGAAAGAGCCACAGTGTTTCATATGTATTCAGCACCAAGTCTCATTCTGAAAAAATTACATTTTCTTCCCCATATCCCCTAAAACACAGATGGTGGCGCATGGACAAAAACTTAGGTGCAGAGAACTGCCATCTACCACCAACCGGGAACTTTCATCGAGTCTTTGTACACCTGGCATATTTTCTATGTGCATTCCTCCCACTGCCACCACTGAACCCAGCCCACAGCCATCCCAAGCTGCCTCCTCATAGTTCATCCAAGCTACTTAAACAGCTGCTGTCTGAGCCACTGCAGGGTCTGAAGATGCAAACTGCATTGCATGAACCCCAACTTCCAATGCCATTATCAGCCTGTAGCTCTCCCAAGTCTCCCAACTCAGTCAACACCGACGACCTACCCATGTGACGACATGCTTCTTCTGCACTACATGCCCCTGACATTGCCAAATTGATTGACACACATTTGAGCCAAGCCAGCAACATGCTGAAAGGCACGCTAATACTGCCGAAGAGCCATTCACTACTGTAAGCATCCACTGTGTTTCATCATTAGTACCACCACTTCCATCACCATAGTAACCACCCAGCAGACACTCAAGCCCAACACTGCATTCACCACACCATTCTTGGCCAGCAGACTGTATACCACAGCATCCTAGACCAACAAAGTACTATCTCCTTCACATGGACTCCAGAAACAGAAAGGTTGTCTCAGCCTTTTGCTACAGAAACCATGTAGAAAGGTGTTGTTTACAACTAAAGAGGCACAGGAAACCAATGTTATGTCCCTCAAATGAAAACATAGCCACAGTTTATTACCAGAGAGTCTGAGTGATATCTTCAGAAGAAATCACTTACTATAAACCGTACATTATACAAGGAGTAGAGATGAGTGACCTACAAATGCATAAAACCCATTTACAAATATGAGAAACAGGGTAATGTTGGTTCCAAGTGCTCATGATAGCTCTGTAGCAGTGGATATCAAAGAAAGGGACATTTATGAAATGCCAGTTACAAAATTTAAAATCATAGTTACAAGGAAAGTGAATGAGAGCCAAGAGAATATGGACAGGCAATTCATTCCAATTAGAAAAGCAATTTATGATGATCATGAGAAATTCAGGAACTTGAGATAATGAAACCAAAGTGATGAAGGATTCAGCATAAAACATAGCCTAAATATATTCGTATGGTGAAAACTTTATTCCCAGTTCTGGAAAATTTAGAAGCAGGGCTTAGCTGGGAATAGTGTGCCTCTGGGGACATGTTACCCCTGACCTCTTCTCTCTGTGTACTAGTTGGCCATGGCATGGAAAACTTTTCTCCATCACACATCCATGCTGCTATGATATCCTGTTCAAACACATGAAACCAAGGAACCACGGGATGACTCTAAAGTCACATGCCAGATAAATTCTTCCTTTCTTGAGTTAAGAAGCAATCAATAAGTCAAAGAATACCATTGAAAGCCTTGTACGATTAAAGAAGCAAATATGTTAGGAAAGAATTTAACACATTTGCATTGAAAAGTCTTTTGAAATATCCCAATCAAACAAATGAGAAAAAACAGCCTCCAAGACCCTTGGGACACTAACGAATTTGTGTGTGTGTGTGTGTGTGTGTGTGTGTGTGTGTGTGTGTGTGTGTGTGTGTGTGTTCAGGGATATCTGTAGGTAAAAACAATGTGAATGGAATAGAAATGCATTTCATGAACGCATCATTCCTCTTTGAAAAGACTGAAATTCAGGTAAAGGAGTCCACATGATTCCAAACAGACAAAACCAGTACAGAACCTTGCATGGCATGTTACCATCAAATGCTCAAATTTACAAAATAAAGAGAAAATTTTAGAACATAGAATGTATAGTTTTAAATCACATTTAAAGGCAGACATATTAGACTAACATCATATTTTACAGTAGAAACCTGGACACAGAATTACTTGTACAAAAAGTCTAAAACAACAACAATGAAAAGATATAGCACAAAGCTGCCCTTTAGAAATAGAAAAATAAATAACTTCCAAGACATTTTTTAAAATGAGGGCAATAAACACTTGACTAGACTCAAGAAAGATGTTTAGGGGAATCATTAAATGAGAAGTGAAAGAAAGACACATACCAACATAAAATTGCATAAATGTATAAGACACACTAGAGAAATAGAACATGAAGGATATAAAGAAATTGATCTAAAAGAAAATGGCCAAATCGCAGTGCTGAAGAACAAAAGAAAAAGAACAAATAATATTCAAATTGCATAGACTTTTTTAAATTCCTGGCATATTAAGAGTACATTCCATACACTTACTTTTCTATTGCTATGATAAAACACAAGACCACAGAAATTTATAAAATGGTTTATTTCATGTCATTGTCTGAGAGTGTTAGTGTCCTTGATGGTAGAGCAGAGGCATGGTGGCAGGAACAGAAACCTGAAGGTTCATATCTTGAACTGCATACATAAAGCAAAGGAAGTGAGCTAGAAATAGTGAGAATATTTTAACTCTCACTATTTCCTGACTCCAATGATATACTTCCTCCCATCTAGCAATGCTAAGTCTCCTAAGCCTCCTGAAATGGTGGCATCAAGCACCAAAAAATATTAGGATACGTGGTACGTTTCTTATCCAAGTAATTACACCATACTATTAAAGAATACAGATTGTCAACATGGATTTAGAAAAACAAAAATGATGTGTTCCAAACACACACACACACACACACACACAGGCATGTATGCACACAAATACTAGAAGAGAGAAAGAGACATACACAGACATACCTACAGGATGACCGACGCAATCCTATATTACTCATTGACATATGCAGACAAATAAAAATTATCAAAAAAGATAATACAGGAAAGTATTGGGCGAATGTGTGAGCAGAAGTAGCTGCATCTATGTATAATAAAATAGGATTTGGGATAACATGTTAAGAAGAGATGAAAGTTATTATATAATAACCAATGGGTTAATTCAATAAGAAGACAATAATTATAAACGTATAGATAGTGCTATAGCAATGAATTTCATAAAGCATTATCAAATCTAAAGGGAGTAACGAGCTCCAGTACAAAAATATTTGAGAATGTCAACACCCTACTTTCATCAACAGAGACATAATGCAGACAAAAATGTTAACAAAATTGTCAGAATTAAAGTATGTCATAGAACAAATGAACCTAACAGACATTCAGAGAAAGTTTCAAATATTCCACTGCACATTTGTAGAACACATAATCTTTTATTAAATAAATGATTCAGTCCCTAAAAATATACCAGTATTGGACTACAAAGCAAGTCTCAATAAATTAAAAAAAAACACGATCAAAACCATATCAGGCGTTTTTCTTAGCACAATGAAATAGAACTAGAAATCAATAAACATAATATAAACATTATAAAGGCACATGAAAACTAAATCAATAACCAAGGGATCACTGGAGAAAATGAAATGAAGACCTAGATATGTCCTCAAAATAAATGGAAGTACAGCATACCAAAACACGTGAAATATAACAGAATAAACCATGAGAAGACAGTGTATACAAAATACAGAAAAATATACAAAACTAGGAAGATTTCAAATTAACAATTTAAGGGTCTACTTCAAGGTCCTAGGAAAGAGAAAACAAAACAATTCCATGCTTAGTGGAAGAAATTAAAGCAGAAACAAAACAACAGAGACAAAAAAGTAAATCAGCAGGGTGTGATAACACACTATAATTCCAGCTCTCAAGATGCACCAGAAGAAATGTGAAGATTTTTCTAGTCAGCATGGAACACAAAGTGAAACCCTGTTTCAAAAACAACGATGACGATGATAACAGTCAACAGTATAGAGTGTACGTCTTTCTGAAAAATGGTCGGCGAGAAGTAAAACATGACATCTGGTAGCACGAGGGCATGAGGGACCACCATCACACCTGCACATTCGTGTTCTAGTTTCGTCTCTGCTGCTGTGCCAAAATATCCTGACAAAAAGCAGCTTAGGGGAGAAGATCTATCATAGCTCTCAGTTTCAGGTCAAAGACCACCAGAGCAAGAAAGTCAAGGTGGCATGGACCCCAAACACCTAGTTGTATGACATCCTCAATCAAGGGCAGAGGGAAATGAGTATTTTCATGCTAGCTTTTTTGCTGGTGCTCATATACAGAATTCTCTTGCTTAGAAATGGTACCACCCACATTCGGCTGGATCTTCCCATGTCTCTTAATAAGACTGCATAGGCAGTGATATTCTGAATAGGCCTCTACTATCCACAGAACGAAATGGTTAAAGAAGGGGAGGCCATGAATTTTTGAAAGGGGAGGGAACAGACATTGGAACAGTAAAAGAGAAGCTGAAAATGATGTGATTTTATTTTAATTTAAAAGTTTTTATGGCAAGAATGTGGCCGGTGAGATTGCTCAGCAAGTAAAGGTGTTTGCCATGCAAGCCTGCTGTGGGAGGAGAGAAGTGTTTCCACCAAGTTTTTCTCTTGCTCCCACCCACGTGCCATGGCATAGATGCCCGCACACTCACTGCATGGGCGTGCACACAATAATGGTGAAAAATTAAATCTAAAGTAAGAATTAGTCAGAATTGCCTAAAATTGTGAAGTGAAATAATTAGCCCACTAAGGACACATCCAACAGGAGAGGGAAAATTCCTTGTCAGATATTAATAGTCAAAACATGTAAGAAAAGGAGAAAATATATACTCAAAGAACATGTAATCTGATCAATGAACAACATATAAGTGAACAAAAACTTTCCAAGTGAAGACTGCAAATGCCCAGTAAATACACGAGGAATTTCACAGCATCCATGGCCACCAGAAAAATATTAACCAAAACTGCACTGGGAATTCACATTATCCCATTCAGAATGGTGATCATCAAGGAAAGAAAGCAACAAACATTGACAAGGATGCAGGGGTGGAGAATCCATATATATTAGTGGCAAAAATGTAATTCATTTAAAAATAGAAGTGCCATACACTCCAGCTAGGTCATTATTGGGTATATATATCAAAAAAACAGTTTACTTACTATAGAGATACCTGCCCATTCGTGTAAACCTTGTGCTATAGGGTAATTTCAGTACCCTAAGGACATCGCACAGAAGCCCACTGTGTATAGAATTTTTGTCTCCTAGCCACTACACCAGTGTCAATCCCCTAACACATGGCATTTGTCTAAACCATAGCAGTACCCATAACAATAGGCAGCCACACTAGAAACAGCCTTTCCCCTGCTAGTCAGCTGGCCTTTGAAAGAAAAGGTGTGCATGTAGGTTGGGGAATTAGGAGACCAAACAGCTTTTCAGCACCTTGTTAATGCTCAAAATGGATGTCAGTGAAAAGGGGTCAGCCGACTGGAAAAAAAGACACTCATTGGAAAAGGCCACCAGTAGCATATTACTGAACGTATTTTAAAATAACACCAAAATGCTTCTTACACCATGCTGGCATAATTTCTGGAGTCAACGTATTCACATGAGGGTCAGAAGCAATTTCTTATTGTTACCACCTCCATTGAAACATTTGGAGTGATAGCCTCATTGTCAATTAGCAGAGAACTGAATGCATTCTCCCAAGGGGTCACAGCAACCAACCTCATCCAGTTCCTGCTGTTGATGACGTCCTTCCAAACTATTTTTTTCTGATTCCCATGCAGCAGAAAGGAGGAAATCCTGTGTGTTGGGACACTGATTTATTGCTGCAATCCTCTTGACTTGGCTTCATTGCTTGGGTGTAGGTTAAAAATCCACTCTTGACCCTTGACTTGGGTCATGACTATGTAGCTTGCTATCACTGAGAATTCAACACAAATGATCCCAGTAGGCAGTGGCACCCTTCTCTGGACCATGCTTCCTTCTGACAAGTCTGTCTTCCTCCCAAGGGCAAAATGACTCATTAACCTTTGACCCAAGAAAGATAGAAACACAGGAAAGACAGTCAGCTTGCAGTCAGGAAAAGAGTCCCTGATGCAGAGGAAAGCATGCATACAGTCTTGTGAGAAGAAAGGCTTATTCCATAACCAATGAGCTTTTAGAATGTTGTACACTATAAAGAGTTCACTAATCAAATATTCAAATGAAAGATCTTTAAACTCTGGCTGAGGCTCATGAAGCAGAAATAGATGTGTATTGATAAACAGCAGCTCAGTCCTTCTAGCTGCTATAAAGCAATCGTTGCTATAATGCTTTAATCTTGCCTGGTTTTACTGTTTTTTAAATTGCAATGGTTTATTTCAAATACCTTTGTTGTTTCCTATTATGAGCTATTATATGTTGTTTCCTATTATATAGCATCATTCAAGGTATGGAAATAGTTGGATTTCGCAGTGATGGGTACGATTTAAAACATAAAACAAATACCTTGACCCGGTACATTTCTTTCTTGCTATAGCAAATCAAGACACCAGGGAAATCAAAGAACTGCACGTGTTGTGGAGTCAAAAGCAGAAGTTCGTGTTTATTTACAATTAAAAATTCTTAGAGCCGGGCGTTGATGGCACACGCCTTTAATCCCAACACTCAGGAGGCAGAGGCAGGTGGATCACTGTGAGTTCGAGGCCAGCCTGGTCTACAGAGTGAGTTCCAGGACAGCCTCCAAAACAATATAGAGACACCCTGTCTAGAAAAACCAAAAAAAAAATCTTAGGATGTCAGTAGACTCTTAAAATCCACAATAACTTTTAGGTCATTTCAAATGTCTTTAATCTTGGTTACCATAGCTCATATTATCAAGTTTGGAAAATACCTAAAAGAGATGAATTCTCCTTTAACTACCATGTATAATATGAAATGCAATGCTGTGTTTGTGTCCCAGTATAAGACTAGCTAGTGCCGTCTAAAAGCTTAGTGATGAGCCACTCTGTCTAATGCTATCTATATCAGTACACACTGATATTTACATAATTCAGGAAACACATTTTCAATAGCATGTGTAAATGAACCAAAGAAATGAAAGTATTCATTTCAGCTGTACTTTGTATTAAGACTGTGTTGTCTCCTCTGAGATTATAATAATTTAAGTTGTCCTCACCTTTCATCCTGTTCTGATTAAGCACTTCCAACACTAACGATCTTCCACCAGTGTGATGAGTCAGGGTTAAATTCCTTGACACATAGACAGATATACACACTATTACAATAGTTGCTGCTAGATGAAACCCCACTGTTCTCTCATGTGTGCAATGCCTTTTTGACACTGCATGTTAATCTTTGTCATGTATAGATAGCCTGTGTTTAGATCAAGTATGCTCAAGTGGCTCGGGAAACTTTCTATTCATTGACTGGCCCCACACTGCTCTTTCTTCCTCTCTGGTGTCCACTCTAGTCACTAAAAAGGTAATTGAATTTATCTCCCTAGTACACAAGCCAAATTGACTTCAACGGTTTAGATATTTTGTTGAAGACACTTGATTTAAACACATGAGATATCAAAAACAACTACAGTAACAAGAGCCATTTCAGATTTTACATTCTTCTATATTTTCAGTGTTCCTCAGGTATTTAGTAGCATGGCCCATTTAGTGAGAGCTTGATTGTATTATAAAGATATACAGGTCCTCCTCTTCCCTCCTCCTCTCCCCTTCTCTTTCTCCTAATTCCCTCCCCTCTCACCCCCTCACCCCCCCCCCGTGTTTTCAATTTACTCAAGAGATCTTGTCCCTTTCCCCTTCTCTGGGGAACCATGTGTGTATCTCTTAGGGTCCTCCTTTTCCCTAGCTTCTCTGGTGGTGTGGATTGTGGGCTGGTAATCCTTTGCTCTATGTCTAAAATCCATATATGAGTGAGAACATATCATATTTGTCTTTTTGTGACTGGGTTACCTCACTCAGAATGGATTCTTCTAGTGACATCCATTTGCCTGAGAATTTCAAGATCTTTTTTTTCTGCTGAGTAGTACTCCATTGTATAAATGTACCACATTTTCTTTATCCATTCTTCAGTTGAGGGGCATCCAGGTTGCTTCCAGTTTCTGGCTATTACAAATAATGCTGCTATGAACATAGTTGAATAGATGTCCTTGTTGTATGAATGTGCATCTTTTGGGTATACACCTAAAAGTAGAATTGCTGCATCTTGAGGTATACTGATTCCCATTTTCCAAACCATCCTACTGATTTCCAAAGTGGCTGTACAAATTTGCACTCCCAGCATCAGTGGAGGAGTGTTCCCCTTTCTCCACATCCTCTCTAGTATAAACTGTCTTGGTGTTCTTGATTTTAACCAATCTGACAGGAGCAAAATGGTATCTCAGAGTTGTTTTTATTTGCACTTCTCTGATGGCTAAGGATGTTAAGCACTTTCTTAAGTGTCTTTCAACCATTTTAGATTCATCTATTGAGAATTCTCTATTTAGTTCTTTACCCTACTTTTTAATTGGATTATTTGGTGTTTTGGAGACTTGCTTCCTGAGTTCCTTGTATATTTCAGAAATCAGGGGCAGGAAGATTGAGTTGGGGAGAGAATATAGGAGAGTAAGAAAAGAGATACCTTAATAGAAGAAGACATTATAGATTTAAAGAGAAATGTGGCACTAAGGAAATGTCCAGAGATCTACAAGGATGACACCAACTAAGAATCTAAGCAATAGTGGAGAGGCTACCTTAAATGTCCTTCCCCTCTAATGAGACTGATGACTACTTTATATGCTGTCCTAGAGCCTTCATCCAGTAGCTGATGGAAGCAGAAGCAGACAGCCATAACTAAGCACTGAGTCTAACTCCTGGAATCCAGTTGCCGAGAGGAAGGACTGATGAGTAAAGGGGCCAATACCAGGCTGGGGAAACCCACAGAAACAGCTGTCCTGAACAAGGGGGAGTTCATGTTACTCAGACTGACAGCTGGGAAACCAGCATAGGACTGAACCAGGCCCCCTGAATGTGGGTGTCAGTTAGGAAGCCTGGACAGTCTATGGGGCCTCTAGCAGTGGATCAGTGTCTATCCCAAGTGTACAAATTGACTTTGGGAGCCCATCCCCATAAAGGGATACTCTCACAGCTTTAGACACATGGGGGAGGGTCTAGTCCCTGCCCCAAATGATGTGACAGACTTTGGTCATCACCCAGAGAAGCAGAAAGGGGATGGCATGGGAGGTTAGTGGGGAGCATGGGAGGATGGGAGATAGAGGGAACTGGGATTGATATGTAAAATAAGATTTCTCTAATCTAAATAAAAATAAATAATAAATAAATAAATGAATGAAAGATATACATGTAAATTCTGGACACTGTAAAATCATTCTTTGTATTTGGTAGTTTTCAGATTTTGAATTGTTTTTGGTAACAAATTAAAAGAGAGTAAAAACTGAATTTGAAAGCCTTCATCTTTCTATGCTGTAAACAATTCTAAAAGTACTCGGTATCTTTCATTAGCCTTTAATATATAATCTCTGGGAGGCAGTCAGCTGCACCTATGGCCCTGACTTATCTATTATGCTGTTTTTACTTTTGGAGGTGCTGCTGTTGCTGGTGGTGGTGGTGGAGTGTGTGTGTGTGTGTGTGTGTGTGTGTGTGTGTGTAATTTTCTCTATTCTTGAAAATTTTTGTACATATATAATGAAATATGATTATATCAAAAGAGAAGGCAAAGAATGAGAACAGGTTTAATTTTTTTAATCTATGTGACCTCCAATATAGTCTCAATTCAGAAGACAGCTGACAGAAATTGATTCATTTCCTTTGTTCATTTATGCATAATATTAAACTGTACTTTTCTGAGATATGAAAATATTAATGGACATATACTGAGACAGACAGAAATAGACAATGGGTTGTTTTATCAAGAGACTTTTAGAATATTCAAATTAATCTAGTGCCAAGGATATAGATACATGCTTATTTAAATAGTACACATACTAAATAGTGATTTTTCTACTTGGATTATGTGCTTTCTGGACTTGATAATAAGAGGCCCAGTAGACCAGAACAAAGTAACTTCAGTGCAGTGGTCATTACTGCAGATTCTCATAATCTCTTGCTGTTACAAGTATTTCTAACCTTTACAAAACTTGGATTCCTGCATCTTTTCTTTCTGCGGTATCTTTGTTGCTATGGCGGTTCTTCACTTCTGCTTCCCACATCAGTCATTAGTGTTTTCAGAAGTCAGCGACCTGCATGTGTAGAATACTTTTTCATTTAGACTTTAAAGATACACGCATGCATCTTGTACCCCTATAAAGATAGTTTTCATGAGAAATTCATTTTAAAATTTAAAAAGACTCTCAATTATCACAAAATGCCCAAGAGTTGACTTGATAGATTCCAAATAATCGTAGGTTGAGAAGTGTCCACATAGCCTAAAATCCCTAGGCACCTAAGACTCTGAAAGCGGCTATTACTTATCAAAACATTCTGACCCACAGGGCACTATCCCCAAAATATACCCCACCCACAACCTTCATGTGGTATTGCTTTATCATTGCCACTGTGCAGACAAGGGAACTGACACTCTAACACGTACTTTCTCCGAAATAAGTAATACCCTCAATTGTCATGCCAGAGAATTGTGTGTATCCACCCCATAAGTTCTTGCCATAAATAATGTCCTTCAAATCTATCCTTTCTGATTTCTGGCTCAGGGGTGCAAGCTCTGGCTGTCTGGTGCAAGAGACTATGCCTCCCTGCACACAGGCTCTGCTGTATCAGAAAGCAAGACCCTTAATCCTCACCGGGTAGTACGTCTGAGCATGCTACAGGCGTTGGTCTTCTTAGTGAGCAGAGCAGGAGAGCAAAGCATAGACAGTGTGAGTTGACCCACATCACAGAGGCAAGACTGAGGTATCAGCCTGCAGTCTTGTGTTTCTTTCCTCCACTGTCCCTTATGCTTTTCCCTCAGTTTTCTCTTAGGAAAGCAACCAAAGCAGTCTATCCTTAATGTGTCCTGACACGCTGCCTTGTAGAAAAGCAGAACGCCATAGAGCAGGGGGGTAGGATGATTGTCCAACTTATTGGCTCTTTCAGAACACAACCCCAACTGGGTCACACTATGTACTTTCAAGTAGTTAGGAAGAAAAGGCCAGAACCTGACAATACCAATGTTTTTGACAACTGGAAAAATGACAGAGAAGTACCAGTCCCCAGAAGAAAAACCTTCACATTCACTTGCACTACAGGTCCTCAGGTCACAAGTCCCTGGAGGCAAATAAATCCCTATGTGGTTCTCCCAAAGACTACCATGAGGGCTACTGAGATGCCCAGATGCCCACAAATTCTCAGTACATTGCCTTTTACTGTTAGGGAACTATGGCAAAGACAGCCAGTATGGACAATCACCCAAAAAGATGCCACTATGAACACTGTCAACTGTCAGTGACATTTTAACTGAGTTAAAATGGAAAAAGCTGTGGCTTTCCCCCTAGATACATTCAGGGAGAGTTGAACGGAGGGATGTGGTAATGCATACCTTTAATCTTAGCACTTGGGAGGCAAAGGCAGGCAGATTTCTGAGTTTAAGGCCAGCCTTGTCTACAGAGTAAGTCCCAGTGAATATCAAGACTACACAGAGAAACTCTTTCTAAAAAACTAAACAAACAAATGAAAATAGAAGGTGTGTGGAAGGGTGGGGGGAGAGTCCAGCTGCTCCATGAAAGGATAAATACTACAGAGAGGGCCAGATCAGCTGTGGGGTAAGGCTTTAAGTATAAGTTGATAAAGGAGTGGGCCTAGTGCCACCATGTCCCCATCTGCCCTTCCTACCCCATGATCATGTGATGTCATCTGCCATGATTGACTCAGTCAGGAAGCCCTTATAAGAGGATAGCTAACTATGACCCACCCAATGATCCTGAGCCCTGAAATTGTGACCTAGACATCTTCAAACATTTCTGAAACAAAATAGTAACGTGATGGAAGACATAAAGGGGACTTCACGGTAAGTGTTTGCTGTTCTTGTCAATCAAGGCAAGACTTAAATTAATTTTGAAAAATTATGAATCGAAACACCATCACAAGAGGTATGCTTTCAGAAAAGAGTGCATCCCTGCTGCGGTTTTCCAGAATGCTTACATTATGCTCCCTCAAACTCCGAGATAAACGAGAGTGTGAGTTTGAGTTGTGGTTCATCTTTTCAGGAAGCCATTTTGTCAAAGTGTAAAACTTACTTTTGAAGCTGAGGGTCATGGACAGCTGCACAACGCACTCCAGACTCCAGTCTGAAAATGAAGCAGCATAATGGAATAGACTCTTTATTGTAACTGACTACCAAAAGGATGAAAATGCTAAAATTCCAGCTGTGTCATCGCATCCAATAAGCTCTGCAAACAACTGAAAAGCAAAAAATGTGCTTGTCACTTTGCCCCCAACACACTTGAAATCGATCCATCCATAATTATCTCTTCCCCTGAGCAAAATGGTTTCATGATTTTTAGAAGCTGAAATAGGAAGAGAAGAAAAAAACAACCTTTCCTATTGTTGTTTCTTGGGGAAGTTATTTAAAATTCTGTGTGCTGTTTTGAGTGATCGTGAACACCAGTGGAGCATGCTGCATGATAGATAGGAGCAAACGCTCCCATTGTCTCCTTGTAGAAGATGGTCCTCCATGACAAGGCGCAGCTGCTGGGGCTTCAGCACAACCCTGCTTTTCTTGGCAGAGGAAACAATTACAATTTGAAGTTTTCTGACTCCTTTCCAAATATAGATCTCTTGCCTACAGAAGTGGGTGACGGACTGTACCAACTCCAGCAAGTGAGCACTCCTCTCCTAATGCCTCGAGAAAAGACAGAACAACTGAGAGTCTCAGTCATGAAAAAGAGAGGCTTCTGAATTCATAGCATGTCTTTAAGTCCTAAGGGAAACAGTGTCTTTATGACAATCCTCAGCCCATGAACAAATGTCATTATTTGCTCCTGGGTAAGAAGCCAACTCAGAGGCAAGGCAGATCTAAATCTGAGGGAACATTTGTAAAAACTGTCCATTTGTCATCGTCAATCCATCAAAAGATTAGGTTTTTTTGCTTGTGTGCCAAACCATTTGGCTACATGCATTCCAAAACTCTCAATTCTGTAAATCCCATATATGTTAAAATCACTTGTAGTATAAATGCTAAGTGATCCTTCAGACATTTCCAAATGGTGACCTTGTGATGCAATGAAATCATCTCCAAATTTCACACTTGAGGATCACAAAATCAAATTAAGAGTATAGGGGATTGCAAGACATAATCTCTAGTATTTTAAGGAAGTTTATGCCACCAGTTGGACACACACAACTGATGGTTTACCCCTGCTCTACTAGGGAAGACCCCGGTGTCTAGCAGAAGAGGTGGTTCCATGATGCTAAGTTTGAAGAATTTTGAGGCAGAGGACTGTCTGTGACCAGGTGTTAAGCATGCAGATAGGAATTCAAGCCATGAACATGTACTGAGACAGATGGTCTGGAAGAAGCCTGCCTAACACTGCTAATGACTACACAGAGTCTCTGGGGGAAAGGACCATCTCTGCATAGAGCACGTTGTTCAATCGTATTATTGTAGTTTGCCTTCAAAAGTTGCTTCTATTTAGACCTCTGTTAGATTTTGTTTTGTTTGATAAGAATGAGGTCAGTTAAGGAAAGTTTAAAAACACCATTACTGAGTCTGGTGAAATGCCTCATCAGGAGAAGACACTCGTCACCAAGCCTGACAACTTAAGTTTGATGCCCAAGATACACATGGTGGAGGAAGAGAAGCAGCTTTCACATGTTGCCTGTGACCTCTCCACACATGTCCACAACACACACACACACACACACACACACACACACACAATTAAAATCTAGTAATTTAAACCCTCAACCCTCGTTACAGATTCTGTTCTAAACAGATGAAGTCTTTCCACTTAGAAAGCCAGAGTTTATGCTGCCTCCAAATCATGCTGAAACTTCACATTAGCTGATTGCACTCCGTGGAAACCAGCCTAAGAGCCTTTCATCTTTCTAAAGCAAACAAATGAACAAGTCGCATTGGCCTTTGGTAGTCTAAGAAAACCCAATGTTTAGACAGAGAGTGTACCTTTCAATTTAACTTTTTTTCCTTCTGACCTCTGTCTGTATATAAGAAAAGATGATCAAAAGCATATATGTGAAACCCCAAGCTATTAAGCATGGACAGTCTCACATAAAGGTCCCCCTAAGAAACTATGACCTAGCTGTGAATTTATCTCTGTCACATTGAAAACAACTATGTGTTTTGCTTATCGGGCAGATGAACCAATGTAGTCAAAAAGCAATCTGGGGAGAAAGACACCATCTTTACATTAACTTCCAAAACTGTTGTCAAATCACTCCTGACACTGTGACTCCAGGACTGGCATCATGGTGGTGGGGCTCAAGACTGGAGCAATAGGCTTCTAATTTAGGAAGAGACATAAGACTCTTACATCAAGCTGAGCTCATGACACATGCTCACAGTCACATCACTCCTGGGACTGCATCCAGATACAGAATTTGAAACTAGCCTGGGTTCCAGGGAAGAGCCTTGTAAAAATAAATGAATAGGACTTGCATTTTGTGTTTGTGTCAAGGATCTGCACTGAGCAGACTGAAAATCTATCAACTGAGAATCTCTTTTCTTAAAAGAGCATGTCACATATTTTTGCACTTACCCACCCTAGGGAAATGAATTATGTCACCAATATCTTCACTTACTCTAGAAGAGGTAGAATGATACCTGAGGTTCACTCTAGTCATTCTTTTCTTTCAGAATCACTATCTTTGAGCCCTCTCACTTAAAACAAGATAGAACAAAATCATCCCCAAAACAATGAATTTTAGAACTCTCCATTCGTCTCAATATGTTAGAAAACCATCCATCTACGTTTGTCACCAAAGTCATCTCACCTTATAAAATGAGTACGGTGAGGGAGATAGCACTGGAATAATTATTCACTCAGTGAGATCATTCAAGCCACCACAAGTGAGATGCAAATTGGAAAAGACAAATTTCACAGGAATTTCCAACATAGCTGTAAATTAAGAATACTCACAATCTTGTATGACTCTCACCAAACGGTGTCTCGGTACTCTTGTTTATGTCATTAGCTGGCAACCCGGGTATCTTTTGCTCACATCTTACAGAACATATGGAGAAAAGAAATAGGCTGTTGAGCAAGTCTCACTTCTTCAACTACAGAGTCCAGATCCTTGACTCATTATTTCATCTCAGTTTCCTCATCTAGAAGGTGACAGAAGATTATTAGCCTATAAATCTTTTATGAAAAACTCAATAATACATATAAACTACATAGACCATAATAGGTACTCTGTATATTTTAATTTTCTTGCCTTTTTTACCCATTTTGATGTGAATGTGTAATGTGCCACACACACACAAACACACAGTTGGTGATGTTGTTTTACAGGCCAGAGGAAATGAGTCACTGGAAGGCAAATTTTAAGGGGCAATATCTAGCTCTCCTTCCAGCCCAATCTTGGTCTCTCTCTCTCTGTAAACAACCAGCCACACTCTGGCAACAGACACTCAATGCTCCAGCCACTTGGGGTTCACTGCCAGTCAGTGTGGACTGTATCCTCTCAACCTGTGAGCCTAAATAAATCCTACATTGCTTGTTGTCAGAAATTTGGCATAGTAAAGAAAGTCCTAAGGATTATTTAAAAACCTAAAAAGTTAATTTTGTGCTCCAGTATTTGGAGCTGTTACCAAAGAGCATAAAATATTGTCATTCCCATTGAATAGAAATCAATTGAAATATCCCAACTGATCCCTTAAAATTTAGCAGATAAAAGTTATACTTAATACATGAAGCTAGTTAACTGACTAACAGTCTGTAAAATAAAATGGATTGGAGTTTCATCAAACACCCAAAATTAAAACAATTTTATAGGAAACAAGTATTTAAATAAAAATGACTCTTATAAACTAATAAAATAGAAACTTTAATTGATAAATCCAATTTATATATAATTCTCAAGTTTCCTAAGTGAAAAACATAGTAAAAATGATTGTAATAAAATACAACAAGGCAGTTAAGAATATATGATAGCTCAATAAATATTCTCAATATAAAAGCAATTTATATCAACTAATAATACAATTTAAATCTTCATGAAATTATATGGAAAATATAAGTCGAATCAAAACACCAAGGTCAGATCCTAAGCAGCGTCTTTTTCTTCTGTTGTCCAAACTTATTGTGCATTTGACTCCATTCCCAGATTCAGGATGGATTCTGATTCCTCTAGAAACACCAAAAATTCGTCCTGGCTCCCAGTGCATGCTTTGACTCCAGGAGTGGTCATGTGTACACAAGTGTTCCAACCTCAATGGGAGGACTTATATGTCATGGATAGGGAAAACTTTTGCTCCATCTGTTTTGTTGTCTAGAAACAAGAAAATGCCCAGATCTGATAAAGAATGGAGTCTTCAGGACAGGCAGGTGACACACTTGCCCACACTCTCAAGATAAAGAATGGAGTCTTCAGGACAGGCAGGTGACACACTTGCCCACACTCTCAAGATAAAGAATGGAGTCTTCAGGACAGGCAGGTGACACACTTGCCCACACTCTCAAGATAAAGAATGGAGTCTTCAGGACAGGCAGGTGACACACTTGCCCACACTCTCAAGATAAAGAATGGAGTCTTCAGGACAGGCAGGTGACACACTTGCCCACACTCTCAAGATAAAGAATGGAGTCTTCAGGACAGGCAGGTGACACACTTGCCCACACTCTCAAGATAAAGAATGGAGTCTTCAGGACAGGCAGGTGACACACTTGCCCACACTCTCAAGATAAAGAATGGAGTCTTCAGGACAGGCAGGTGACACACTTGCCCACACTCTCAAGGCCTCCACTTCCATCCATGGTGTTGCCGAGAAACTTAATGAGGTGTGTCTGAAAACAGGCAGGCAACAAGTGCCAGAACACAGAGGAAGAAGTTGTACTGTAAGCGATACTGAGTGGAAAATTCTGCTAGTCTAGATTCCATCCTGACTGCCAACTGTCAGTTATGTGATACAAACAACACGTTGACAGTAATAAGATGTCACAATTGAGATGGTGCATTGCCTAGCTATTAACCATTAAGCGTGTCAATCAATGATGATAAAAATGCAAAATTGCTAATAAGACACTTCATAGTTTTACATATTTAACATTAAATTTGAGCTTGAAAATAAACATTCAACTTGGGAACAACTGAAATCCAAGAAACTGCCTCAAGGCAGAGACAAAACCTGAGTAAATGAGTAGCTCTAAATGAGACGTGCTATGGTTTGGACCAGAAACATTACCCTCCTCCCCCAGGCTCATAGAGCGTTCCATGCCTGTTGAAGCTGATGAGAGTTGTGGAACTTTTGACAGGATGTCTAGATACAATAAATGGGTTCCAAAAGATGACCTTGCAAGCTATGTCAGCATGGTTCCAGCCCAAGATTTTGAAAGCTGCTGTTGAAGATCATGTCATTGGTACAGAGTTAACCACCACCCCAACTGTACTGCATCCCCAACGCCCCATGCAAGACAGTGACTCTGGAACAGGAACCAGATTGAAACTTTCCTCCCTGGTCATTTCTGTCAGAGAAGTAAGAAGGGACTAATTCAAGTACAAATGATCACGGAGGAACTAATCTTAACTCACCGCACTCACAAAATAAATTCTAATTTATCTAAGATCAAACGCTAAGAAATGAACAATATTTGGAAAACTAAAGACTAAATTTGTGTTTCAAAGTTATCAAAAGTAGCCATCACATTTTACCCAAACACCCATTGCATTGACCCTTTTAAGTTCTATACAAACATTTATGAACAGAATTAAAAGAAAATGATAGAGTGAGAAGACATGGCAGTCATACATGAAAGACTTGCCCTGAATTAAATACTATCAATTAATACACAACTGTAGTATTTTTTTTACTGTTTTGCTTTTTCAATACAGGGTTTTTTTATATAACAGCCCTGGCTGTAGATCAGGCTGGCCTCGAACTTAAAGAGATCCACATGCCTCTGCCTCCTGAGTGCTGGGATAAAAGGCATGCACCACCCCCACCACCCAGATATAGCTAGTATTTTCAGTAAAACATGAATAGCTAAGTTGTGTAAAAGAAAATGCAAATAGCCAATGAACATGTAAGAAGGGACATTACACTACTAGTAACTGAGATAATAACAACATAATTTACCATGCCTAGCTTCACATCGAAAAAGACTTTAGTCTGTAAATGGCAACTTAGTACTCTACCAACCTGGTGGCAGTAGGCCTCCTGCAGTAGACATATTAGTGGTATGGAGTATTGAAATGGAATGTGTCTTAAGTACAAAGATTTATTTCAGAGGTCTATGTGATACATGCAGTCTGGCAATCTGTTCAACAAAAAAGTATAACAATTTTTATTTATAACCAAAACAAGTTTTGTATAGATAAGAATGGTAAGTAAAATGAAGCATTTCTAAATTAGAAACTAGCAATGAGGTAAATCTGTATTTCACATCAATATTCATTGTCCTGTAGAAAAGCGAAGTATAAAAATATGAAATATGATACCACTTGTATATAAGCTCAGAAGCAAAATATAATAATGCACAGCCTTTTCTAAATACATTTCACATGTATAGCTAAAATCATGAAAAGGCTTTGGATATTTCATAGCAATTTAATTTGCTCATCATTTTGATTTTAGCATGTATTAGTTGAAGAAAATAATGGGTTTCCTTATGATATTCTCATATATTCATGTTGTGTCATTGGTGATATTCAACTCTCCTCTGTCACCATTTCCTACTCCCTCTACTCCATTGCCCATCTTGTCCCCTTTCTATATGAATGCTTTGTTTTGTAACCTAGCATTTGAGAGAAATGCATTTGCCTTTCCCAGTCAGACTTATTTCACGTAACATGACAATTTCCAGTTCCACCCACTTTCCTGTAAATGGTATAATTTTATTTGTCTTTACAGCTGTGTAAAACTTCATTGTTTATATTTATATTGACATGCCATTGGGCACGAGGTTCATTCCAAAATGGTGAACAATGCAATAATGTACATGAATGAGCAGATTATCTGGGCAGCATGATGGCTTGTATTGCTTGTTTGGATAGCAAGGGCTGCTGCAACTGTATCATATGACAGTTTCATTTTAGGATTCTTTTTAATGGGGAGATTTTCATAGTGGCTATGGTAATTTTCATACCCACTAATACGATGTAAGACTTCTCTTTCCCTCTCAGTCTTACCAGCATTCATTATTGTTTGCCTTCTTGTTGATAGGCCTTCAGAGTGGTTTCAATTTGTGTTTCCCTGGTAGCAAAAGATGCCAGTCATTTTCATGTACTTATTGGCCATTTATATTTATCTTTTGAGACTTGCCTGTTTATTCATTTAATAGCATATTGACTGAATTATTTGGAATCTTTTGCATTTCATTACTTTGAGCTCATATATTTTTACAGCAATTTTTATGGACAAGGAACAGAATAACAGTTTGAAGGCATTCAAAGCAAATCAATATTATCTATATGGTTAATATATTTTAAGAGAATATGCTTATGAATTATTAGTATTAGTGTGCTAGTTTTTCATTGCTGTATGTAACTTACAAAGAGAACAAAAGGTTGTTTGGAGTATGTCAGTCCATAGCCACTTGGTCTCGTTGCCTTTTGCATTTTGAGGCAACATATCTTCATGAGCAAATGTAGTAGAACAAACTTACTCACTTCACAGCAAAGACCCAGATGGCCTCCCATGAGGTTATGTGTCTTAAAGTTCTCTCTGTTTCCCAGTAACACCAGCCTTTGGACATTGATCCACATGGGCCTTAAAAAACATGCTACATAGAAACTATAGTTGACAGGAATGAGATAGAGACAAAGGGAGAGAAACTGTTAAAACCAGCAGATTTATGTTCCACTTAAATCATGCAGTAAAAGTCATATTTCAGATGGAAATAGCAGAGCAAATGGTTAAACAAGAGGAAACATTAGGTCTCATCACCAAAGATAAATATAACTTTTGTGGAACAAAGGAAATGCTTACATGCAGATTGTCTATTGAAGGCAGAATGGCCCCCTAGAGATACTCATACACTAATCTCTGACTCTTGTGAATATACTACATGGCATGGTAAAAGGGACCTTGCAGATGCAATTAAGGCTAAGGACCTTAACAGGAGAGATTAGCCTAGATAATCCAGGTACACTCAGTCTAATCACATAAGCCCTTAGAAGCAGAATGCTTTCTTTGGATGAAGACATCACACAGAAAGGCAACTTGAACAAAAATAAAAGATAAGAGGAACTGTGTGCTGTGCTGCAGGACACCAAATACAAAACAGTGGATGACTGTGTGAGTCCTGAAAATCCAGGCACATGTGTCAGCCTGCAAGATTGTATACACACTACAAAACTAGCTATACATGCTAGCCTGGAAGACTGTGAACACCCTGTGGAAATAGAGCCAGGCACCAACTACAGCCTGCCTCAGTGTATGCACCCTGCAGAACCATATCTACAAGCCTGCCTACAGGCTGTGCAAACCCTATAAGGAGAACCATGTACCCTTGCCAGATCTCCAAAAATATGACCAGGTACCATTGCTGGCCTGAAAAAAAAACACCGCCATGCTCCAGGCACTAGGGTCTGAGTTCAGGCAGCAGTGTCCATAAGAATGGAAAGAAGTTTATCCCTAAAGTCCTGGAAAGTTCCATGAGCATGGCTCACCCTGGCTTCAGCCTTGGAGATGCCATGTAGAAGACCCTGGTGAGCCACACGCCACCTGCACAGACTTCTAACTTTGGGTACTGTGAGAGAATATGTGGCTACTGCTTAAATTTGTGGTACTTAATGAGAACCACAAAGAAAATGAATACCATGTTGTCAAGGCAAACACTATTGAATACTTTCCTACGTGTAGGAGGAGAAAAGTAGCAGTCGTGACGGTAGAATCAGACCATTTGCTAGCTCTTAATTCATGTTTAAAACCTCTTCTCATTAAAAAATGATGCGGTAAAAGCATATCTGATAATTAAATGATAAATTGCAGTACTGATACAGTGACTGGTAGACAAAACCTGGTAAGACCTTTTAAAAACAAAACAAAAAATAAATATAACATTTAAAATGGATACAATGAATAGGGGGTGAATATGATCAAAGTACAATGATATAGATGTATAAAAGTATAACAATGAAACCCATTGTACTGTATGCTGATTGAAAAATAATTGAATAAGCCAGACATAGTAGTACATGCTTGTAATCCCGACACTCAGAAGGTATAGGCAGGAGGCCAGGCTAGGCCACATGGGACCCTGTATCCAAATAACAAAAAACCTAAACAAAGTATTTTAAAATTATTAAAGATAAAATCCAAGAAATAAATTCTTGACTAATATGGCTAGTAATAGAATGGAGAAATAAAAGGAAGGTTCTTCTTTATGCATGAAATGGAAATTTTTTAACATTTTCTAATATCCCATGTTAGTATGGATATAAAAAAATTTGGTAGCTCATATATTTTGCATAAAAATGTTCTACAGGATAATTCAATGATAAATATGTTTTCAATTGATATACTTATGGACATATTAAATTATCCTTTAATGAAGCTCCTTTTAACTTCCATATTAAAATACTAAATAAAATGCAAGTCATTACAGTCCCCCATAAGGTCATGGATTTGAGTTCTTGGTCCCCAGACAGAGGTGCTGTTTGGGAGAGGCTGCGCAAACTTCAGGAAGGGGAGCCTCATTGGAAGAGATGAAGAGCTGAAGCCAGGCCTTAAGAATTGCAGCCCAGTTCCAGTTCTAAACCAGAGAACTTCCTTAGCTTTCCAACAGTGAATGTGATGCAACCAGAGACCCTATGCTTACAGAACCCCACCCTTGCCAACTATGATGGACTAAAACCTGTTAAACAGTGAGTCGAAACAACTCATTCTTCCTTACGTTGTTGTTTTATTACAGCGATAAGGCACACTATATGCAGCATTATCCTTCAAGCAGAGCAGCTGCTGTTTTACAAACTCAACTGTGTCTCCTTGCAAAAAGATCATCACCATCGCTGGGCTTGTTGACTGTTGAGAGGGTGGGGACAGTAATTTAAGCCTTTATTCTGATATTCCAGATGTTGCATATAAATTTACCTAAATTGCAACAGGTGGCCTTGCATTCTTGGAAGAGGGTATTTCTATAGGCTGAGGCAGGCTAGGGAAATGAGGTTCCATCTGCACAGCCTTCCAATGCAACTGATTTAGGATCCCCCACTTTCCTGCCCATGACCGCTCACCCTTTCTCAGTAATTAAGCCTAATACGCTCAATGGTTCTTGGAAGGAGGGTGGTGTTAGGAACCAAACTTGTGTTTGTATGGTGATTAGAACAAGCATGTTCCACAATGGGTTCATATATTTAAGTACTTTGTCTCCAGTTGGTAGCACTGTTTAGAGTGATTCAGGAAGTATGGCCTTGTTGCAGGAAGAATGTCACTAGTTTAAAGACTTGTGCCATTACTAGTCTCCCTACCTGCTTCTTCCCTATGTCTTGGGTACATGTAATTAACTATCACACTCTACCCCCAGATATATGCATACTTATTACATATTGTTAAAAAGAAAGGAGAGGTCAGCTGGTTTTCTCTTTAGCCAACTACATAAAAGCATTCAAAATATCCTGCCTCAATCCATGAGTTAATTGAATAAATAAACTACTATTTACGCCACTTTTAGAATGGAATCCCTACTCTTAATATGACTAACACAACAATTAGTTAAATGGTCATTATCCTGGTCTTAGGTTCACACTCAGGTACAAAAACAAAGGATACAGAAATCCTCTTGTGAAGGCCACAGCATTGATTCAGTATTTAAGTTCCTACTGCTGTTGTAGCTATTGCTATTATGACAAACTCAGTGACTTGAAAGCAACAACAATCACCCTGTTATAGTTATGAAGGAGAGAAATCCACACTAAGTCTTGCAAGGCTAAAATTACAGTGTCTTCTGAGAGTTTCCATAGATACTTGGTGTCCTTGACTTCCCTAGATTCTGAGTGTACCTGAATCCCTTGACTGTGGACCTTTGCTTACTTAATCCCAAACTCCTACTTCCTCTGTCACATATCTTATGATTGGCTCTGATCTTCCTGCATCAATCTTTAAAAACTCCCTATCACTGCATGGGGTCATGAGATAATCCAAGGGAGTATCCATACCTCAAGTTTCTTGCCTCAGCCACACCTACCACATTCTCTTTGCCATCTATGCACACCTGCAGGTTCCAGAAGCAAAGATGGAGACGTTGCTAAGGACCATAGCAGCCTATTGTACTCTGCAGAACATTTTTGACAGTCTACATAGAGGAAAAACTCTGTTTGAAGGAATGAAAAATGCTACTTATTATAAATCAAGTGCCTTTTGCAATAGAGTTTTAAATGACCACAGAAATGAGATTGGATGCTTGAAGGACATTTTTATTATAATAATTTACAAATCTCATTAAGCTTTGTTATTTTTTCTTGATTTTAGTGCACAGCTGTCACTAGAATGAAATGTAAGAGTTATAGGGGACCAAAATCACTGGTGGGAAGAAATCCTAGTTCATTTTTTTATATTTATGATGGGACTATTTTTCCTTTGCTGAATATTGTACAATGATTAGACACTATAAATTGTTGTACTAGAAGTAAAAAAGCAATACATAATATAATGTTCCTACTAATTCCTTTAGCTATCAGAAAACTTTTTATGCCATCTTGAAATAAGTATTGTTTATCCAACACACACACAAAGTATGTGTAATATTCAGGTTTACTATGCAGATTTGGAAAATATGTGTCATTTTTCACTCAAAGTTATATTACAAATTGAAACTCTACTAATGAGTCACCAATCACTTAATGAATATTATAAAATTAAATTCAACCATCAGAGCAAATGTCCTGAACCAATAGAGTATTTTTCTCTTACGCTCACTAACACTTACATTCTTATAAAGGAATCCGTACCTCAGCACAGCATTTATTACAAGATATTATTAATTCTTCTTCACAGACATGATGATGAGAAAGATGAAGAACAGTAAGGTTCATTGCAAGGGCACAAGACTAATTTTGTCTCTGATTTAAACATCTGACTCGTTTTTTTGTAGAAATATTTGACATCATCTGAAAAGTATACAGAAATCACAATCCTATTTCGCAAACTTCTACATTAACTTCAATGGAGTTTTGCTGCTTGTAACAGCATTTGATAATCTCAATAAACTCACTTCAAATCATTGAAATCTGCATGTACATAACAATTGATTGAAAAGAAGATCTGTGGAAAGTCTTGCTATGTGTTAAATTAAAACCTGTATTTGATTTTTTTCTGTTTTGTTTATTTTTTTCTTTGAGAAATTCATGCAATATATTTTGATCATACTTTTTTCCATCTTCCAACTTGTCCCAGATCCTCTCTCCTCCTTAACCACCCAATTTCATGTTCTTTCTTCCTTAAAAATAAAACAATAGAAAAAGGCAATTAAAAATTATACAGTCCCATTTGTGTTGGCCAGCTTTTTTCAACACCAGGCCTGCCATGGGGTGTGGTTATTATACCTATTGTCACTCCATTGATGAAAACTTATGTTTCCCTCTCTCAGCAGCTATCAATTGCAAATAGCTTCTTGGTTAGGGGTAGGACTTTCTACCTACTTTCCCTCTTCCATGATGGGATCTTGTATGGCTTGAGCTTGTACAGATTGTGTGCATGCTGTCACAGTCTCTGTGAGTTCACAATTGCATCTGCCTCTTGGCGCCTGTAAAATCCTGTGCCCTTAAAATCATCTACCTTCTATGGCTCTGACA